AGTCCCTCATCCCCAACCAGTTATGACAACCAAAAATGTTTCCAGATATTGCCAAGTATCCCCTGCAGGAGAACATTGCCCTGACTGAGAACTACTAGTTTAGGAGGAGATTGGTGCTTTGGGGTTAGAAAGACATGTATTTGAATTTGGTCCAGCAGTTGCCGTCTATGTAATCTTTGGCAAATTATTTAACCCTGTGAGCCTCAGATACCCCATCTAGAATGAGGATAACATCTGTGATGGTTAATTTTATGTGATAACTTGACTGGGCTGCAGGATGCCCAGATATCTGGTTAAACATTATTACTGGGTACGCCCGTGAGGATGTTTCCAGGAGAGATTAGAATCTGAATTGGTAGACTGTGGTGTAAAGCAGATTGGTCTTCTCAGTGTGGGTGGGCTTCATCTAATCTGTTGAGGGTGTGACTAGAACAAGAAGGTGGAGTAAGGGAGAATTTGTTCTCTCAGTCTCACTGTTTGAGCTGGGACATTAGTCTTCTCCTGCCCTCAGACTGGGACATATTCCATCAGTCTTTGTGGTGCTCAGACCTTTGGACTAGGGGCTGGAGAGTTATGTAAGACCAACATATTTCCTGGGTCTCTAGCTTGCCGAAGGCAGATCATGGAAGTTATCAGCATGCATAACTTCATAAGCCAATTCCTTATAATAAATCAATCTCTCTTTCCATCTCTTCCCCCCAACCCTCCATCTATCTTTGTCTGGAAAACCTTGACTAACACAATATCTAAATCAGTTTTGTGGAGATTAGAAGAAATAATAGTTGTAAAAATGCCTGATATCTAGGAGGTACTCAATACATTTTTATCCTTTTTTAATTTCTTCTTCCATAAAAGTCAAATGGTAATTCTTGAATAAACAACTCAAAGCCTCAGAAAATAATATAAGTTTTGCTGTGAGATCAAAATAATTTTCCAGTGGAACATTTACAGTCTCTTTGCCTACCCATTTACCAAAGTTCTCTTTAACTTCAGGAGTCTTTCCTACATTCATCACAAATAACAATGAAATTAGGCTAAGAGACTGTTACCACAATTTCTTATAAATGGTAGCAACATAAAGAGGAAGCAAGAATCAAAGTATTATGGGTTTCAAGACTAATTTCCTTTGATTTTAGTTTTTATAGCAATATGCATAGCTAATTAAATTTGAGAAAAGAAATTTCCCTTTAACTTGATCATAGGATCTCACATAATTCCCTTTGTTTTCGTAAATCGAATGCAGCTGAATGGATCAAGAAGAAACATGTGTCAAGTTGGCCAGGGTGTGCGTCACTCCTTCACTCTTTTATGCATTTATTAAGTGCTTACTAGATACTACCTAAGCACAGGGCTACATAGCTCCTGTCTGAAGAGTTAAAAAGGAGGAAGTCAAGTACATCAATGATTTAATATAATGTGATGTGTACATTATACAACAGAAATAGGGATAAAAGGCATTTGAAATTAGATAATGCTACCCAACAACCCCACTAGCCCCACCCCATCCTGCCTAAAGCTGGTTGTTAAACATTTACCACTGGATAAATGTTCTGAGAACTATTTAAAGTTACAACAGATAAGACCAATTGGATACTGTGGGAAGAAGAAAAGGAAGAGTCTTGGGTTATCTCATTTCTAATTTGGGCAGCTGGGTAAATGGTGGCATTCATCACCAAGATAAGGGATTATAACAGGAAGATATGGTTTTAGAAGAAAGATGATGAATCAGTTTTAAATTCACTGCATTTGAGTAGAGACATACTTGGATAAATAGGTCTGGGGGTAAGTGTAGAGTTTGGGGCTAAAGATTTAGGTTTGGATGCTATTAGCATGAGAAGCCATACAGTGAGTAGGGCAGAGAGCAGGAGCCACAACCCTGGTGAGTGAAGACCATTTGGTGCCATTAGAGGATGAGAAAAGCTAAAGATACAAAGGATGAGAGAAAGGAGTCACATAAGAAAAAAAAAGTGTTAAATGTCACAGAGAGGTCAAAGTAAACAAGGTCAGTGAATTATCCATTGCCTTTGGAAATACAGAGGTTATTGGAGTTGAGGGAGACTCGGTTTGGTGCAATACTGTTGGTGTAGGCCAGTCTGCAGTGACTGGGGAGTAGAAGAAGGAATGAAGACAACGAATGTAGACCACTCAAGATGGCTGACTATGAACAAAAGGTAAGATGGTAGCTAAAGGGGAATGTGTGATCACAGGAAATTTTTATTTGTATTTAAATGTGGTCATTAAAGTATTTTCTATGCTGAAGGGAAAGCATAAATAATGAGTGAGAAGATTAAGGGAGAGAGAGAGGAGATGCGGTGAACAATGATAGTGAACTACAACTTTTGGGCTTTATGCTTTGTGACTTTGGCCTCGGTCTTACGACTTATTTTGGCTAATGGGACATTATCAAGCATGATGCCAGCAGAAGCTCAGTAAGCACTTACATATTGGGATTTGTCTTCCTATGAAGACAAAAGCCATTCACCGTATTGTAAGAAAATCTGGACTAGAGACTAGTTTGGACCGCTAAATGATAAGTGGCCACATAGAACTCTGGAAGATGAAAGACTATCTGGGATGGTTCAGCCCCAGCTGAGCTCTCAGCTTGCTGGAGCCACATGAGTGACTCCAGACAAAAGTCACCAGAAGAACCACCCAGGTGAGTCCCGTTCAGATTGCAGAATCATGTGCAAATAAGGGGATTGGTTTTAAGCAATTTAATTTTGGGGTAGATTGTTATGCATTTAATAGATAAGTGAAATAGGAGTAAAACAGAGAAGTTGCCTGAGTCACTGTGAAGGCAATATTGCAAAAGCTCTGATGCAGGACTTCTGGGCTCTACTACTTAATTTGCACAATATTGGATAAATTATTTAGCTTTTTTGACTCTCAGTTGTTTATCTGTACAATAATGATGAAATTGAAGTAAGGTGGTAGAATCTTGATAAACATTTGCTGGTCTAATATTAAAGCACAGGTGGAAGGTTTAACTTTGAAGAGAAGAGAATTCTTTGTTCTTTTAGACAGAAGGGAGGAAAGCTTAATAATAAGGATATGTTGAGGCAAGACCCCAGGAATTCATTAAGTTGCACTTAGCTATTCCCCTTTTTACATTTATATAACATTTCACAGTTATAAAATACTCTCTTGTATACGGTCTCATTTGATCCAATAAGGAAAATAGGTAGACAACATTTGACTGTAAAGAAATGGAAGCCTGAAGAATCTAAATTACTTGGCTAAATGTGCAGGCTTAAGAGGTGAGCAAGGATTAGAATGTAGTGCTTTGGACTCAGAATCCAAAATTCTCTCATGGCTTCAGAACAGGCTACAGACTAAAAATGAGAGATTCTGGCTTCGGGCCCTGGCTCTGCCAAGTACTAATTATTACTTTGAGCAAATTACTTCATCTCTCCAAACTTCATGTATAGAATGCAAATAACAATTCCTTGCAATGTCAAAGGGAGCCAGTGAGGTGGGGAAGCTCTTTGCAAACTCTGAAGTAACACACACATGTAATTGATTATTGTTTCCATCACTCTGCCTGGTGCATCCCATCAACATTATCACTGTGGTCATTTATGTCTTGTATTAGGTGTGTTATAAAGAAAACAAATCTTGGGCACCTGGGTGGCTCAGTTGGTTGGGCGACTGCCTTGGGCTCGGGTCGTGATCCCAGGGTCCTGGGATCAAGTCCCATATCGGGCTCCCTGCTCCTTGGGAGCCTGCTTCTCCCTCTGCCTCTCTCTTTCTCTCTGTCTCTCATGAATAAATAACTAAAATCTTTGAAAAAACAAACAAACAAACAAACTCAAACAGACTTGTCCTCTATTCCCCACATTTAAATTCTAGTTTTCTACATGCATCTAATCCATACTTAGGAGATAAGGATATTCCTGAATAACTGTCTTTCTAGTCTCAGGTAAGATGTATTTTCACATTGGCCTTAGCCCAAAGGAACTAATACAATGCTGAGAATCTTGGCATAGCCCCGTGGGAAGACATACTAAGACATGAAATAAGTATAGGGTTTGTCACATGACCTCTGGTGACCTGTCGTGCAGGCTTTTTGAGAGTCAACCCAATATTTCCTGTATGGTCCCTGATTATTTACTGTGTCCAGAATGGAACTATTTTTTATGGGTCTCATGTTTATTTTCATCCTGAAATAAAAGACAAAATTTAAAGACAGACTATGACTGTGTCATTTAGAATGACCCAAGTGGGAAAACACCTTGAATTTTCACTTATAAAGCAGATGACTGTATTATACTTTTAAAGACTAGACCTTGTGGAACAATCTAGTATTCAGAATGTAGAAGGCCTTGAGTTCTTGTGCTGTGTTCCACTTTGTCCTTTAGACCAGTCACTGGGCATTTTTGCCTCACTGAGCTAATCGTATTTGCCATACACTATTCAAAATAATTTCACAGCCTTTAGCTTATTTTAAGAACTGAACAAATGTGCTGATTTGTATAAATAAGACAGAGTGGAGAACTTTCCTGGGAAATGAGAGATATTTTGAAAACAACTGTCATACTGAAGATGACAGGGAGGCTTAATTAGCTGATGCTTGCAAAGTACTTTGAAAATGAAACCCATGATGTCCTTACTAAGCATGATGAATACCATTTAATCTTGGATAAGTAAAAAGTCATATATTTTGAGACATTTAAATTTGGTGTGTGTCTTCTACAAAATGCAGATTGTTCTTTTTGTAAAAAGAACAAATAAAACTCTTGTGAAAAATCCAGAAATGAGACAAATTTTTGAATACAAAGTTATTAGCCTTGAGGACTTAAATATGGAGAGTTGATGTGAAATTAGATCATGTTTTTTCGCCCAAATGTATGAATCTATTCAGAGGCATTGGCATGGCTGAAAGAACACTTGGTACCGAGTTGAAAGATCTGAGTTCCAGAACTGAGCTGCCTTTGCCAGCCAAGACACTTTTTGTCAAGTCACTGGTTTCTTCATCTACAAAACAGAAAAAACTATAGTACCTCTCCTATTTATCTTCTAGGGTTGTTCTGAGACTCAAATGTGATCATATAGTCATTTGGTGATTGCACCTGTAAAAATGAAATGAAAGATATCATTTCCTTGAAACATTCATAAAGCAAAAATGGCTTAATAAGTCCAATAATTAATACTTCACAGAGACTTTAATTCATCCCTTTTGTGTTCTTAAGTTCTTTCTTTCCTTTGTACCACTCTTTCTTTTCATGGGTCTAGAGAGGTTAGAGGTGAGAGATGGCAAGGAACTTTGAGGAGAGCCTTTTCCTTCTGTTAGAAACAGAGTGTCTCGTTACCAAACTTTCAGGAGAACCTCATCTGGAATGTTAAAAGATGACAACTAGACTGCATTTTATAGGAATGGCCTTTTGGGGGAAACCTAGGATTTGAAATTTTAAATGCCTGAAGTTCTTCTACTGGCCAGCCCATGTTGCATCAAAACAAACATCCAGATGAAACATTTGGCATGACAGAAATAGGTCTCCCCTTTAAGAAACAAACATCTACGAATGTCAACTCTATTCTAACTTGCACGAGTAGCTGTCTTGAGACAATTTCTAACATTTCTTATTTAACACACATAAACATTACAGGACAGTAAAGATAACTGTAAATTCTTTGTTGCTCCTCCCATTGAGAGGTCTAATTCTCTGCCACTCAAATCTGGACTGGCTTTAGTTACTTGACCAAATGATTGAGGTAGAAGTGATATTCTAGGACTCTAGAGTTTAGCTCATAAGGAGCTTTGGAATTTTGGGTGCCTGGGTGGCTCAGTTGGTTAAGCGACTGCCTTCGGCTCAGGTCATGATCCTGGAGTCCCAGGATCGAGTCCCGCATCGGGCTCCCTGCTCGGCGGGGAGTCTGCTTCTCCCTCTGACCCTCCCCCCTCTCCTGCTCTCTCTCTCATTCTCTCTCTCAAATAAATAAATAAAATCTTTAAAAAAAAAAAAAAAGAAGCTTTCGAATTTTGACTTATGTTCACCCAATTATAGTTTTATTGAAAAAGTAGGTTTTTATCATTAACTGTTATATATAATAGGTAATATAATGGCTTATATTTTTTGAGATTTTACTATATGCCAAGTACTATGCTAAGCACTTCACCTATGAACCATCCGTGTATTCCTACCTGTCGCCTCACCTCCACTTCATAGAGTATCCATCCAGTGAGCCTCCAGAGTTCTGTGCCACTGTGCCCCGTCATGAATGAGGAACATGCAAGATTTCAAAAGGAATTGTTTTTCAGGGACATTCTCAAAGATTTCTCTCTCTCTCCAGCTTGGGAGAAATTGGTACATTCTCCCTCTTCTATAACGTGTAATTGAAGGATTACTTTATATTTAGAGGATCCCACAGCCTTATCTTAGGCAAGACTGTATGACAGCCACGTTTCCACACCTCTTCATCATTCCTCCTGGAGTTCCTCATCTGATTGTACCACTCACCACTCACTAATCTCATTGGGTCTCATTTTACAACTCTATACAAGAGGGACCCATGAAGGCAGTGCTCTGTTCTTTCCCTCAGGCGTTTGCCAGCCCTTCTGAAAGTTTCCACACTGCCTGTGTTAAAAATGGCTCTATCAGGCTAAGGGAGCATGAATACCTGAGCAAACATGGTGTCTTTTTTGTTTTTTTAAGATTTCATTTTTAGGTAATCTCTACACCCAACATGGGGCTCTAACTCACAACACCGAGATCAAGAGTCATATGCTCCACTGAGTGAGCCAACCAGGCACCCTGCAAACATAGTGTTTTAAAACCAGTTACAGGTTTTCACTGACCTATAGACAAGGTCAATTCTTCTGACTTGTAAATCTCAGACTATGATCCCACCGGTTCCTATCATATTGAATCAAGCATAGGAAAAACGCTTTGCTTTTGGAGCTATTGGAGAGTGGTGCAGTGTGAAAAATTATTTTGGCTATATTTATTTTTCTTTGCTCAATCATATTATTGATGAGGGAACAGAAGGCAAGGTGAGGACAAAGCAGAAGCTGACACCCCCCAACCACCCCCATATCTGTGACATTCCTCATGCACTCCTGGTGGCCCTAAAGCTAAGGAAAGAAAAAACAAATAGTTAATTTATAGAGATTACAATCCTGCAAGACTAAAGTCTCCCTCAGTTTACAAATGTTTTAGCAATCTCCAAGAACAAAGCATTTCTATCAAAGGCCTAGCTTCCAGAAGGAAACGTAGATACAATTAAATGTCCTTATAACTTGCAGCTCATTAACAGATACTTGAAGCGGGCAGAGTGTAAAGTTCCTCCAGGAAGCTCCTAACTATATTCATGTTAATGCCTTGCTAGAAGGAAAAAAACCTTAATCTGACAATGGCAAGGCCTCTAGTATCTTGTAGGTCCTCTTTAGCATATCAAAGTTCTTTTGAAAACCTCCCTTTGCCTTACCTCCCCCAACCCCATAGTATATAATTAGCCACCCTTCACAACCGTGGTACAGCAGCTCTTTCTGCCCACAGGTCCTGTCCCTGTGCTTTAATAAACCACCATTTTGCACCCAAGAATTCCTTCTTGGTTGTTGGCTCCGGACCTCACCCTACTGAACCTCACCTATATTCCAAAACCCCATCATTATGATATCTGTCCTTTTATTTCCTCTTTCTCTGTGCATGCAGAGTTTTCTTGTATTTACATTGATTCCCCCCAATCTTTTTGCATATTCTTTGGGGTAACAGACACGTGAATATAGCCAGAGGTGGATGTACTACAAAGCTAAGAAGCTTAAGCTTTAGAGCTCTTCACTTGAACGGGATCCTTACAAAGCCCTGTACCTAATTTTTATTTTTTACATAAAAAAAGAAGGCCCCATACATACAGTAAACTTTTGGTTCACAAATTCTGAATCTACTCCTGAGTACGGCTCCCTTGAAGGCCTGTGGCATTTGTCATGTTGCAGGACTTAATAATACCTGAATGAGGGGCGCCTGGGTGGCTCAGTCGTTAAGCGTCTGCCTTCGGCTCAGGTCATGGTCCCAGGGTCCTGGGATCGAGCCCCGAGTCGAGCTCCCTGCTCGGCGGGAAGCCTGCTTCTCCCCCTTCTCCCCCTGCTTGTGTTCCCTCTCTCGCTATGTCTCTCTCTGTCAAATAAATTTTTAAAAAAACAAACAACCTGACTGATTTGCTTCATGTTGTTAATGGCATGACAATTCACCTTTTGAAGCCTAGCCCACGATAAGATCAGATCTATTACTCCTATTCTCTCTCTGCCTTTAGCTCTTTTCTCTATGCCCACTCCCCCAATTTATTTCATTCCCTACTTCCCTGAAATTTCTTTCCCCTGAATGTCAGATTCTTGGCTTTCTGCTCTGACTATTCTTATTTGAATTTCCCTTATTAGTTAAACTCAACCAGCACAATAGAAAGCCTCTTTGGATTCAATGGAAATTGTCTCTCTTTTGTTAACAAAGTCGGTTGTTAAGCGCTGCTAGTTGGGAGAGGAATTTCAAGTGCTTTCAGCTCTGTGAATGTACCAAGAACTATTCATTGGGGGTAGTTCTCTTCCAGGATTAAGAAAACAGCAAATCATACCTAAGAACAGTTCCAAGTAGCCTCATTCTCATGGTGTTGGGATCTGCTGAGGAACAATGGTGGGCTTTGATGAGTAGTTCTTGTGAGAACCACTAATGAAAGGACTCACTCCAGGCATAAGTCCCTCCAGGATTCAGCACATGGTTGAAGCCTCTCATATGCCTTGGTGAGAGCCAACACATTAAGCAGGGAGAATGGCTTTTCCCAATGGTGCAATGTTACACATTACCTGCCTTCTCTGAAAGCAGCAGATACAATAACCCTAATGAATTTTATGGCTGAGGTTTGAGAAGTTCTTTGAAATAGGGTGAAAAACCTGGGCATATTTATGCCTTCCAAGGGGAAGCTCCAGAAGATTCATTCAAGCAAGAAGAGGACACAGCTGGTCTACAGCTGTTAATTCTACCTCTCCCACACTGGGAAAAGATTTCCCTCCAACTAAATATCTAGAAACCTTCCATCTGCTCTTCCAGATCCACACCATATCCATTCTCCAAGCCTTCTCCAACCTGAGCTTTCCCAGAACCTGTGTGAATTACATCTTCCAGTTCTCTTGCCTGATGCTTTTTGTTGGGTTCAGTCGGTGGGGTGCACTGCAGGAGAAATGTGAGGGAAGGAGGAGTGCAAAATCAGGGAATACATTTTCTCAGCTCCCTCTCTGTGACTATGCCCCTCTCGTGAAGGTCATAGCTCCCCTCAGTGACCCTCTCTATGCAGCATTTTCTGGCTGAGTTTAGAAAATGCTCCCTTCCCTGGCATGTACAAACTTAGTTCTTACCAGCCTGTTCTCAGAACCCCTTGTGCTTCTCTATACCCTGCCCACACCTTGACAAAGAATCCCTTAAGACATTCTCTCAAATCCCCAAATTCAATTTTTCCGCCTGGGATCTATCATGTCTGGAACCTTGACCAAAAAACACTTGATTCAAAAGTTAGGATTCATGGGTTTGAATATTTTCAGATCCTCTGCCAATGCAGCTGTCTCCTGCTCCCCGGTGCTGCCTGTTTCAAGTCTGTCTAATAGTTGCTGTGGGGACCCACTTGGAACCCTTCAGTTGGTATGAAGATTATTGAAAGCTGAGGGCATCTGAGATTCAACAGATGCAGAAAGAAGCCTTCTTGGAGCTTCCCTTATCCGACTAAAAGCAGGACCTTCTGAGAAATGAAAAATGCCATAAATTCCCTCCTCAGGGTGGCTTCTACTCCTGGGAGAGAGCCAACAGTAAACCTACCATAAATTCCTCTCCAGGAGAGTTTTATGGCTCCGAAGAAGAAAGACCAATTATACTTGTATAATCACACATTTTCACAAACTCTCTTATCTCCAGTTTGTTCTAAAAACCCATTTGTCTTTCCTAAAGAAAACTTTTGTCCTTTCATAGAAGCTGTTTCTTTCCCCACTCATTCCTTTTCCTTACTAAGTTAGGTGTATAAGCCTTAAACTTTAACTCTTTAAGGAGCCAGCTCCTGGGTGCATACAGATAAACCTTTTTCTCCTGTTAACCTGTCTTTTGTCAGTTTAATTTGCAGGCCCCAAACACTGAACATGAGTGGGTAGAGGAAAAAGTTTTTCCTCCTCTGCAGTGCCTTAGCTGAGGCACATTTTTCTTTTTAAATGGAACACAGCAGTCCTCATCTTTGGAGAGAATCCAAAGCTACAAGGTATTCAAATGTGATTAGCACTCAATAAAGATGATTTTGCTGCTATAATCATAAGATTTGAAGAGTGAACTGAAGAGTTTTATAAAGAAATATGGGCAAGTAGCTCTGGGAGTATTTTGTGTTAGAACACGGCTTTTTTTTTCACTTTAAAGTACTCTCCCATTTTGCTTTTCATACAATCTCTAGAATGTTATGACACCAGGATTAATCTGGAAACTTAGGAAGTAAATTAGTCTCTCTGTTCTTTTTTCCTCCATTTTGCAGTCTTTTTCTATGCCAGAGGAAATCCAACTCATTAGCTCAGTCTGACTACAGACTGTAAACCTCTGTTCTAAAATCACTGTTTTTGGGTAGTTAGTCCCAAAACATGCAGAAATTTGCCTCATCAAGAGTAGTCTAGGGGCGCCTGGGTGGCTCAGTTGGTTGGGCGACTGCCTTCTGCTCGGGTCATGATCCCAGGGTCCTGGGATTGAGCCCGGCATTGGGCTCCCTGCTCAACAGGGGGCCTGCTTCTCCCTCTCCCTCTGCCCCTCCCACTGCTTGTGCTCTCCTGCTCTCTCTCTGCCAAATAAAAAATAAAATCTTTTTTTAAAAAAAAGAGTAGTCTAATTAGCCACATTGAAACAAAATTGTCTTTTGGATGAATAATGGTGTATAAGGGAATCTGCTGTTAATTCTTTTTGGACAATGACTGTTTTTGATAGTTTCATGGCACTAAAATGTACATACTACACTCAGTAACTATGCTATGGATCTCTAGAGATATTAGCCCTGTTATCAAGGTGCTGGGAATGTGAGGTGAGTCAGCTACTTCTAGCCATGATTACAACCTCAGACCTTATTATGGCCACCATCCAAATACAGAGGATTTGGGAAAAATAAAACAACAAAAAAACCAAACATAGAATAAGCATGGGCTAATTTTTGTCTGTCACCTTTTGGGAAAAGAAAAGAAGTTAATCATATCCAGAGCTCA